ACCAAGAAGGCAACTGAAATTCAGCGAGATGAGTGACTGGTCCAAAGTTACCCAGCTATCGTATGGCTAAAGTGAGGCCTGGCTGACACTATTCTCTCCTGAGACCACCCAGCGTCCCAGCCTGAGGAGGTCTTCCCAGCCCCTCACAGCCACCTGCGCCAAGGGATGGTTTCCTGATGCTTCCAGACCTCACCCCAGCTTCACATGATGCCAGCCCAGCACTGGTTCCTTCTGCCCCAGGAGGCAGACAGGCCCCGAGGGGAGGAGTGACGTAGGAAGGAAGGAGGAGAGGTCAGAGCAGGCTGGGCAGCCAAGACAGGGATGGCTGGAGGCTAAGACAGGAAGGAAGGAGGCCAGGATTAGTCAGTTTGTCCTGTAGGACTGGAAGGAGGTTTTGGTAACCTGGGGTCACACTCGCACAGCCCTGTGGGACTGACTCTGTCCACTGGAAAATGCTAGGGCAGGTCCAAGAGGACTCAGGAACAGCTTCAACCTTGTTATCAGTCCCACCAACCACTCTGCCCAAGGCCCTTTTCAGCTGGGGCGACTGAAGCCCATCGAAAGGAAGTGACTCTTCCAAGAGCACACAGCAAGGGAATCACGAATGCCCCGCTTTCTCATGCTCACCAGTTCTGGAGGCTGGAGGAGCTTGGGATTTCCCCCTTTGCAGCCACGGGGAAGAGACCCTCACCTTGGCTCCCATCTTCTTTGTGGGAGCGAAGCACTAGGCAGAAACACACTCTCAGCTTAGAGCTGAGGTTCTTGGTGACAATGGAAGCTTTCTTCCTAGCAGCCAGGAAAACTCAGCTCTGGACAGGCCAGACACTACTACCCCGCCCACCTCAACTCACTGCTGATGCTGAGATGCTGCCAGACAGGGGTGGGGTCAGTAGGTGCACCTCGAGCCATCTGGACCAGTTCTGAGTTACCCCTTTTCCCAGGGCAACTCCATTTTTATATATACAGTTAATGCGTCCGTCACCCCCACATACATTATTCCACTTGATACGTATTTATTGACTATTATGTGCCAGACATTAGAGATCATCTCCTCCCTCTGTCCCTTCCATCCTCCCATTCGCACATCCTCCAGCCTTCCCATCCTCCCATCCTTCTTTCTCATCCCTCATTCATGCATTCATTCACTCGTTCATTCAGTAACTACTTCAACTATTGAGGCAGTACAGCCTTAATGAATAAGAGTGATATTTGGAGCCAGACTATCAGGATATGAACCCTGACTCAGTCACTTACTGGCTGTGTGAGCTTGGCAAGTCATGTAAGCTTGATTTCCTATCTGTAAAATGGTGATAATAATAGCACCTTCCTTATAGGGTTGTGATGAGGATAAAATGATGCACGCAAAGTGTCTAGAATAGCACCTGACATAGTAAACACTTCATAAACATCAGCCGTTATCATTGTTATTGTTATTGTGTGCCTGGCACTGTGCCAGACGCTGAGGAAATTGCTCCAAGACACTCCTTTCACAGGGATCTCTGCATACCAGCCCTTTTTCAGCCTACACCTTTTGCCCTGGTCTTCCTGCCTGCAGCCCCTCAGCTAGGCCTCTGGTCCTGGGGAGCCCTACCTGGACTCATGGAAGGTCAGGGGAGGCAGGAGAGGAAGCTGACCGCTCAGGAGAAGCAGGGCTTTTGTGAGGAGCTGGAGCAGATGTCTGGGCTCCTGGGTTCCAGCACCAGGCCTGCCTGGGACTCTCTGTGTCACCTGGATGAGCCCTTCCCCGTTCTGGGCTCAGAATTCCCCTCTCTGAGATTTGGATAGGGGGTTGGCTGGACTCTTATCAGCTCTCCTTGCCGAGGCTCAGTGTCTAGAGCCTGTGGCAGGATAAGGGAGGTAGATTTGGGGCAGCTGGCATCAGAGGTCCCCCCCCACTTCCATTTCTGCTGAGGCTGGGGCAGGCCCTCTGCTGCCCACAGTGAAGGTGTGCCCACACAGATGGGTGTGCTGTGCCTGAGCTTGCAGCCTCGGGGGCTGTGGTGTCCCCAGAGTCAGCCTGCAGCCACTGAAAGCATGGGGCCCAGCAGCTTAATTCACATCCTGCTCTATACTCACCATCCATGTGACTCTGGATGCACCTCAGTTTCTCCATCTTTAGACAGCACTCACGCCCTGCCCCACAGGGAGTATTAGGTATAAGGCTTGGCTTAGCACTAGCAGATGCTCAGCAGAAAGTGGCAGCTGCCATTATTGTTATGGGTCCTGACACCCCACCCCCACCCCCACCTCCATCTGGGCTTCACCCCCACCCCTCCCCGTCTGCTCCTGAGCAGGGTGGGTGTTCCAGGCCTCAGGCCCATATGGGGCCTGCCCAGGACCCCTGACTGGGTTGGATGTCCTCCCTCCTTGGGAGGGAGACTTGAATTGGAGTGCGCCTGCCAACCCCTCCCTCCTGGCTTGGCAGCATGAAGACAACGCCAGCCAAAAATATTTGTGTGGGTGGTGGAAAGTTAACTTTTCCGCCTCTCTCTTCTTTCCTGGAAACCGTGGCCACTGTCAAATACAGCAAAACAGAAGCAGGGATGGAGCGAGGCGAGGCCCCTGCGGGGCGTCAGAGGAGGCCCTGCTCCCCGTGCCCACTCCTTCTGCCTCCTGCCATCTGGCCCTATGGCAGAGCAGGCGGCAGGGTGGGGGGCTCAGGTGCTTAGAATCATGGCATCCTGCAATGCCAGGGCTGAGCAGACCCCCCAGCATGCTCTGGCTCAATCCCACCATGGTACCTTTGGGTGAACTGACTCCAAAGTGCAGAAGGCACCTGCCCAAGGTCACAGCCAATTAGAGCTCTTCAGAATTAGACTGGCCCTTCGTGAGAGTCTAAGAGTCTTTGAAACTCTCATGGCAGAAATCTGGCAGCAGCCGGTGAGTGAGAAAGAATTTGGAGGGCAATGAGGCCCTGAAGCCATTTCTTCTAGGTCTCTATGCCCACCATCATGGTCAAGGTGTCAGGGCTAGGGTCAGATCCTGGCCCTGTCGCTCCCTAGCTGTGTGACTTAGGCCAGAAGTCACTCTGCCTATCCGAGCCTCCATTTCCTCACCTCTGAAATGGGATAATAATAATAGCACTTCTCTCACAGGGTTGTTGTAAGGATTTATTTGGGTAACCTAAGTGAAGAACCCAGCATGGAATAGATGTTCAGTCTTGTGAATGCCCGTTCTTCTCCAGGCAGGAGGCTGGCTTCTTTGTGCCGATTTCCCTGTCACTGAGGCTGCTGTAACAGGTGCCTGTTATCGCTCTGATCCCAATACCTGTTTGCTTTCCCCTGGTTGGTGCTGATTTGCCTCAGGGCCTGGTAATGTGCTTATCTTTCGTCTTGCCTACCACACTCTCCTGGCACAGCTCCTACCAGAAGTGGAGGCCTTGACTCAGATTGTTGGGGTGGGGTGGGGGTGCCTGACGCTGCCTGGGGATGGAAGCGTGGCCTCCAGGTCAAATACCGCAGCAGCTGAGGTCATTCCAGGCCCTGAGGTCACCCGTATCCACAGACTTGCACAATTCCCAGGATTCTCATTGCCCATGGAGCCGCCAGTGCGCGTGTGTGGTTCTTTCTCTCCCCGTTTGCAGTCAGGTAAATGAGATCCTGAGAGTTCACACTCCCTGGAATTCACACGGCTAAGTCGCGGTAGAATCAAGATTTGCAAATTCCAACGTTTCCTCCCAAGTGTAACTGGCCATTGGCCCTGTCTTCAGCTCTCCCTGCCCATCTTGGGGCATCTCATCCACCTTTGCCCTGTGCCTCCACACAGAATTTTCAAATCTTTGTCTCCAGCCTGGAACTCTCACTGGCTCCCCAGGCCTCCATGTGGAGCTGACTGTTCTCGTCTCCCCCCGGAAACCCCAAATCAAACTCATCTTCCTGCTCCCTAGAACACCTGCTCCTTCCCATTTATTCCTGATCTCTATTAATGAAATCACGAAACCACACTCACCAGAGCTGCAGCCTAGACTCCGCCCCGTTCCTCCCCACCCACTCTCCATCTGCCTCCCAGGCCAGCCAACTCTTCCACCCAAGTGTCTCTCCCACCCATCCCCTCCTCACATCCCTACAGGAAGCCTCCATTCCCCTCTCTCCTGGATTGTCATCATAGCAATCATTTCTAAATAATCATCCTGTTTTTATTATTATCCCTGTTAGCATTCATGGCTCCCCGCGCCACCAGGTTTTAAGGCTTCAGGAGCCACAGTACCATGCCTTCTTTATCCCCGCGGTATCCCCCATACCTTTTATAGCGTCTGAAATGGGATAGGAGCTCAAGAAATTTTTGTGGAAGGAAAGAATAGCCAACGTGTATTGCGTTACGTCTCAGAAACTGTGCTAAGTCCTCTGCATGCATTTTCTCACTTAATCTTCAATGCAACACTACGTTGGCAATATTACAATTCCCGTTTTACAGTTGGGGAAGCTGAGGTCATGTGACTTGCTGCCCATCACACAAGTGGCAGAGCTGGGTTTCTAGCTCAAAGCCGGTCACATAAGCACATCACTGCACCATCTCCCTTGATGCGCGGCCTTCTCAGGGGTCCCTGTGCCCAGTCTTGCGCCCTCTGCCCCACTATTCCTGTGATTCCTGTGGCTTATGTACCTTTGATGGCACATGAGAGAATCCTTTCTAGACGGTGCCCAGATATGTTAAATAACTACATATTTATTTAATGTGTATTGGGAAAAAACGACTTAGCACAACATATTTGTGGTTTTCCTGCAATTATTGCTTAAGTCTAAAATAATAGAAGTAAGTTACTTAAAGTTGATTTACGGAAAAATATTAAGCAAATCAAGTGTCAAGTGGCATAACAATATGGCAAAAAGTGGGCATGTCAAGTGACTGAAGCTTGGGACTTTCCCATGGATGTGTGGGACCTAGACCCCAAGCTCCAGCCAGTTCTCAGGGCCACCCTAAGGTGGACAGGTCTCAGAATTCAACCCAGAATACCCAGAGAGCTGTCTCATATACTGTTTATTTTCTCTCTGTACAAATAGGTCATCTTGAAGGAAGCCTCACTGACCAGAGACAGGTTAAGAAGGAGGGCTTGGGGGCCCACCAGCCCACCCAACACAGGAAGGCCTACAGTTGGACTTTGCCCCTGCTCTGTGAGTTGGCTGAGGAAGGAAAAGCTGCAGAGAGCCGGAGGAGGCCTGGAGAGAAGCAGAGACCAGGGCTCATACTGGTGGACCCGGCCTCAGCCCAGGTGCCAGCTTATCTGCATTGCTGAGGCGAGGCAGCGCCATGCTGGGGCCCCACCTTCCACACCCACCCCTTGGGCCCAGCGAAGGCAGACCTACCGCCTGCACCTTCCGGATCCCTGATGGGAGCTACAGGTGTCTGGCCTTGGAGGCTGAGGAGAGTGGCGGCGAGGAGGGCCTGCAGGGAGAGGCAGGGCTCATGGACTTGGAGGAGGACAGGATGGTCAGCAGAGGGGACAACTCCGCCTGCAGAGACACCCAAGGAGCACCAGAGCTGCCCAAAGCCCTGGGCATCCAGCCATCCAGCTGCTCCAGGGAGGCACAAAGGGGGCCCCAGCATGACAACAGGGCCAGCCGGGATTGGGACGTGGTGAAGGCCCGGCAGGTGATGACAGTCAGCCCCAGCCCCAGCCCAGGGTCCAGGAGTCCCCAGAAAGCAGGTAAGCTCACATCCCTTTGCCCCTGGACTGCCAGTATCTCAGGGGACTGCACAGGTCCTTGACACAGGGGTTCCTGACCATATTTTCCCATAATGCCTAACAGTCCGTCACAGTCGCATGGGCATGCCCAGATTAACAGCTGTGGAGACACGGGGGAGGCTGTAACTACATGCAGTTCCACCTATACCACATCTAAGCCCACTCTTTTCTCTGCCAAAAGGGGTATCTGAGAAGGCAGGGAGAGAAATCCATGTTATCATGCTTGGTTGAAAAAAAGTCCATCTCTTACTCGTGTCTGCCCTTTATTCGTTTGTGGCAACAAATGACCGTTGAGTGTGAGCAACCGATGGGGCGGGACCACCTCGTGGGACATATGAAGTGCCAGCGATTTGAGAGTGCTGGGGACCGAGCACTGGGCAAAGGTGATGTGGTTGCTGCCCTCACGGAGCTTACGAGGCAGAGACTACTGAAGCCTTTGGTCTTCCTTGGACCGCCTAAGTTTACAGGTGGGAAAACTGAGGCCCAGAGTGAGGAACAGCTGCTCCAGGTTACTAGGCCTGTCGGTGGCTGGTTCGGGCCCACATTCCTCATCTAAGCCTCAGTTTCCCAACTGTCTCATGGGTGGCAGGAGTTGGCAAAGCAGGGCAGAACAGGGAAATCCACATTGAATCACCTCCACCGCTGGTACCATGGAAACGCTGAAATGGGTCCAGATGGGAGGACAGTAGCCGGGCCCTGCTTGCTCAGGCAGAAGCCGCTGCCGACAGATCCCGGGGGCGCAGGGCGTGCAGGGGACACCAGCCTGGGAGGGCTTGTGCGTCAGGAAACTGAGGGGACATTTCATTTCTCTGCGGGCGTTGCTGACGCCCCGGTTGGCATCTCACCAGCCATCCTGCCCACTCTCGTTTCTGAAATAATCCTTTCCAGGCTCTGACCACCCCCGATTGCCACCCCCTTTACCCCACCACGCTTGGGTCACACAGGGAGTCTGGGCAGGGGCAAGGAGGGGCCTTCAATGAATCTGGGGCAGGAAGAAGGAGGACCCCTGGAGGGCCCAAGAGCCTTGAACTTGGAGGTGGGCTCTCACATCAGGGTCAGCCCAAATTCAATTCCCCCAGAGCCTGAAATCCCGATACCTGCTCCCTTCCCCTCTCACAGACCATGACGGCTGGGGGTCAGTCAGGAGGCATAGGGTGTTGGTTCCAGAACCGATGCCGACTAGCCAAACCCCGGTACATCCCTTCCCCTTGGTGAACTTCAGTTTCTTCATCTGTGAAATAAAATTAAAATATGAACCCTGTCTGCCTCATAGAGCTGTTGTGAGGTTGCAATGATTTTAGGTGGGGCAGTGTTTTGGGACTTTTAGGGTAAGCTAGACAGGCATGTGAAGATGTTGATGCTAATTAAAATGTTCATCATCAGCTCCATAATACAACAGCTGTTATTTGTTAAGCCCTAATGTGCGAAGCCCCCTGTGCTAAGAGCTTTACACATGCCATTTTATTTAATTTCATAATGATCCCCATGAGGGACATACTGTTATTATCTCCAATATACAGATGAGAAGACTGAGGCTCAGAGACTATAACTGACTTGTCCAAGACTCATGATCAGCAAGCTGCTAAGAAATGAATAAACCACAGCTCTTTTGAATATGGGGCTTTGTCCTGAGCTACCACTGAATTCTGGATTTATAAGGAGCGTGTTGTCTCCTGACACCTGGAGCGCAAGAAACCATGGATGGAGAGGGGAGAAGCAGGGACTACATTTAACGAATCCTATTGGCTTCTCACATGGAGCTAGGTCATTTCATAGTATCTCAGTTTCATTGATCTTACTATAGCCTTTTAAGGCAGGTATTCTACCCATTGTATAGGTGAGGCAACTGAGGCTCAGAGACTGAAGTCCCTTGTCCAAAGTCACACAGTCAGTGTTGGAACTGAGACTATGGTCGTGTTCTTCTTGCCTCACAGCCTGGTTCATTCCTTTTTTAAATGTTCAGCCAGTTGGTTATATCCAGTTCTGTCCTGAATATTTCTAGGGACAGAGGAGACAGTGACCTCAGGAGGATGGGACGAGCAGGAAAGATTTCTCAGAGGTTAAAGCAGGAAAAAAGCTGTGTGTTGCAGAAGTGTAGAAATCGGGTGGTCTTGGGTTGGAGCCCACACTGGCCTGTCTGCTCCCTTGGGAAAGGAAGTGGCCAGAGTCCCTTCTCTGCCCGGAGATCCGCAGGGAAGAGGTCTATGGAACTGCCAGGTTATTAGTGGATTAGGGCTTCCTTTTAAAGCTTCCTCCCATTACCACCAGAGGATTATAAGCATCTTCAGACAATTACACCCATCCTTCCGCAATTATAACTGCCTCCCTTGAGTGCTCCCTGGAAGCTTTAAGTATGGGTCATGACATCTTCTGCTTTGGGCACCCACCATTTGGGGTGTGTAGGTACCAGTACCAGTTCTCTAAGGCCTGAGTACCAGCTGAGCAGGGCAGAATGGGGTCCTTGAGAGGCTGGAGGGTCAGGGGATGCAGAGAGATGAGGTAGGCAGCAGCTCAAGTTCCCTGTCATCAGTTGCTGCCAACTTGGGAGAGTATAAATGGGAAGAAAGGTGTCATGTAGGGCTCATAATCAGGCCACAGCCAGCACTGCTTAGTCCACAGCTCACCAAGACAGTCCCACGCTCCAGCTGTCCTCTCCACAAAGTCTGAGCTGGTCATAACTGGAAGGGCTCATTGAGATTACTGTGTAGATAATCTTGTAGGAGACTCTGAAGTCCAGAGATGGCAAGCAACTTTTCCAAGGTCACACAGTAAGTTGGTGGCAAAGCTAGATCTTGAACCCAGAGCTTCTTCTGCCTCCCAGGTCAGCTGCCAGGTACTGTGCTAAATGCTTTGTATGGGTTATTTCATTTCATCCTCTAAATAACCCTAGGAAGTTCATAGTTTTCTTATCTCTGTTTTACAGATGAGGAAACTAAGGCATAACAAGTTTAAGTGACTTGTCAAAGTCTCAGGCCTGTGGGTGGGGAAGCTGAGATTTGAACCCTGGGAGGTCTGGCCCATGTTTTCTACCACCCTCTGTACTGCCTTGTCTCCATAGAGACGAGGCAGCAGGCTCTGTTCTTCCACCCACCTGAGGCTGGAAAAAGGTTGTTCAGTCTCTGGAGGATGATGGAGGATTCTTTCAAGCCATCTTTCCGCCCCTTTGGAGACACTCAGGGAGACCTGGGACACTGCCCCTCCTTCACTCATGGCTTTGGGAGAGCCACCTTCCCTCCTCTCCAGGCCACTTGTTATTGGGGATCGGGGGTATCTATAGGATTTGGAAGCCTTGCCAACTCTAGTGGACACTGCTTGAGCCTCTTGGATGGGGATGGGGGTATGGACCTGAGTTGTCAGATGAGCCCTGCCCCTGGCCATGTCTATCTAGTTGAGGCAGAGGAACCCACACCCTGATAAGAGCTGACAGTGGTCACTGGGCCAAGGACAAGGACCCTGCTCCTCAGGCCTGTGGGAGAGAGGGCAGACAAGAAGGCAGGGCACCACCCACTCTTCCCCCCACTCCCCCACTCTGTAATGGCTGTAGTAGGAGGGTGATGGTGGAGGAGCAGAGCTCACAGTTCACATATACCTCACATGTGCACTCACACATACCTGCTCACGACCCCATAAGCACACATGTAAACACATGTGATGAATATACACCATATTTTTATGCAAACACGTATGTATACTTACATCTGCACACATGTGCACACATATGCATGCCCTTAGACACCCACACATCCATGCATGGGACACACATTGGCACACAACCTCCCACAGACTTCCCCACGCATGACTAACTTTCACATGTATCAGGTTTGCATACACAGCTACAATCTCACCTGAAACATACAAGCACACAGATTCCTTCCTTAGATGCCAGTGAAAAGCATGCTCTTTTCTCCATTTTCTCTTGCTCACACACCTACACTTTGAAATCTCTCTTGCATGCACACATTTTCTTCCACAGGCATATCCACTCTTACACACCCACTGTCACACACCTACATACAGCCCGAACCACTTTCTGTTCTCCTTCCTTTTCCCGTCTCTTTCTCTTTCATACCCACCCACACAGTAATCCTAGCCTTTCTCTTCTCTCTCTCTCGTTCTGTCACCCACACAGTTTGTTTCCTGCTTTCCCACAGGCTGGGCTGCAGCCACTTTCCTAGCACATGGACTCACAGGGCAGGCAATACCCTGCTTGAGCCAATGGCCAGGACCCTTCCATGCCCCCAGCCCCACCTGGGGCAGCCTCAGCACAAGAGCAGCTACAGGGTCAGAGAAATGCTCTGTGGTCCATGAGGCCAAGCAGAAGGTTAGGAGCAGCCAGGGAGGGTTTGTCCCCTCTGTCACCTGACCTCCTGCACTCTGAGCCTGCCCTCTGGGGACAGGGAAATGTCCCCAAACCAGGCCACCTGCAGCTCTGCATTTCACAGAACCTCCGGTGGGGTAGGCTCACACCAGCACATTTCTGACTTCCTTTAGCAGAAATCTAAACACAGAATCTGGATATAAAAGACAGATGAAAATGGAACTACCTTGGTTGAAGGGGTGAGGTACTTGGAACCCAGGGAAACTTTGGTGAAAACCCAGGCCAGCATTTCCCCAAGAGTGGTTTTGTTTCAAAGTTGTTGGGAGTGTGAAGGGTACTTGTTATCAGTCCTGTTTCCTAGCCCACCGCATCTCCCCTACACTGGGGAGGGGGCACCAAAATGTGGGAATCTCGACTTTTAACAGCATCCTCTGCTCATTCTGAATGGTGTTTAGTTCAATGAAAAGATGGGGAACTGAAGCCCAAAAGAGACACACGGCATCACGGCCCTGGTGTTGCTGGCCCACCAGTTAAGTCAGGGGATGAATGACCCCGGGCTGCTGGGGAGGTGACAACCTTTGTCAGTTCCCATTTGCCTAAGTTCTACCAGAGTCCACAGTTATTCTAGTCCTGGGGCAGAGAA